AGTGCTTCACATATCAGCCCCGAAATAAACAGACCTTTGTTTTAATTCGCGCGATCAATATCTGCATTAACTGAGAGAGTGAGAGGAGTCATAAATACCTCATCATCATTTAATAGTCTGGCAAAGAGATCGGGGTTAATAGGTTAACATAAATAACATACTGCATTTCATTTGATGAGAATTCTGCATGCATCTGATAGTTCATTACACACTTGTGTGAATGAGAGATGGTCTTAATGGCTGTCATCACCACATAATGAACACAATTTTTAATGCATGTGTATCACGTGTTGATTTATTGTCTTACGTCACCTGGTTTCGTGTAATATTTCATGAGACAGAGTTGTGTGAGCGCGACTTGCCTCACACATTCACTCTTGGAGGATGGTCGCTGTCCTCTGGAGCAGTGCCTCACTGAAGAGCACCGCTTTTAGTGGAATACATTCAAATTAACATAATAAACCATTAATGTGATAATGACATTAATGGTGTGTTGATCCTGTTCCATAATTTCTTACTAATGTAATTTAGTTCCCATTTATGTAAATATAAATTTCCTACCCATGTAATTCAAATCTTTTAATTTAATCCATTTTCATTATCCACCGAAGAACCTCTTCCATACATATTCGTCCCTTTTTAAAATGTACCACCATAGACAGACAGAGTTGTGTTTAATGTTTCTGTTTTTAGAGTTATGAGTTATGAGTTATGTTATTTTCCTTTTTGGAGGAAGAAAAACTAAGGAAAGTAATGGTAAGAAGTCTTAAAATCTAGTGACAAATGCACTAAGTTAACAACACTGCAGGCTGTAAACGGCCCCCTAATAGAAACTATTCACTTTGAAAGAGCAACGACCAATGGGGAAACTCCAAATCAGTCACATGACATTCGGCTGACCTGGAACTCTGATCACTTAACTATGTCACTCAGTCAGTCACGGAAGTTTGTATACGTGTTTGTATTTTAAGTCAGCCAGATGCATGAAATAATACACGTGAGAAAGTACAACACTAAAATGTGAAATGTTTTATTTGTCTTCTATCATTGATATTAGATAAAAAGAAAAAATCTTTAAAAGAATAAAGGGATTGTTGAGATAGATGAATAAATGGAGTGCTTTGTTAATCCCAAAGAGCAATAGTCATGTTGCTTACAGCAGCCAATCACATGTAAGAATCAGAAAACAAACAATATAAGGACACTCAAAGGGAAAGATAGGAAAGAAATAATGAAAATATCATTAACTAAAATCTTGACAATGATTAATGAAGTCTAGAAGATACTACAAACTGTAAATTGATATGGCAAGGTATACCACTGAAATAGTATAACCATTAAAATATAAACTTTGTAATTTTATCTCGGCCTTTTACAACTGTTAACAGGTTGTAACCACTTCCTGCAGATTCGTAACCATAATGCAAATAAATGACATCACCCGCATCGACCTTGGTGGGTGTTTGTCAGTGAAACCGCACTGACACACGGCTGCAGTGCATTTAGCATCTGCTGTTGAATTTGTCGCAGCTGTGTGAGGAGTCATAACTCACGGCTCATAGGGCTGTCAGGACGATCTGTTTTCCTTTTCATGCTACAACTGATCAATTATAACTCCGTCCTATTCAGACAGTTATTAATTCGTAGAGCTTGAAACAGTGAGTGTATCCCCCTGACAGATGTTACTATCTAGAGCACTTTTTGTCCAGTAAGACTCACTCCTCTGACAGCATGACTAACACCATCTCCAGCACTGTGCTGCTCTCCTCCCTCATGGATTGGGAGCAAAGGTTCTTCGTGCTCCTCAACAGCCCTTTTTTTGCATTTTACTCTGCAGAGATTTTTTATGGCCAGCTGTCAAACATTCATGTGTAAATGTGAGTACAGTCCCCTGTAGGCAGCTGTAGGTGCTTCATCTGGGCTTAAGAAACCTCGAAATTCTTTACATTATGTACTGGATGTGCTTGTTGTTTTTTTTTTTTGTTTTTTTTTGCTTAGTGCCTGACAACTAAACACACAGCCTGTGCACAATGTCATTGTTGTGCTGCCAGCAGTACTGCTCCAAACCACAGTAGAAACAAATATCATACAAAGAAATACAGTAACTGGATAGTTGGTGGAACACCTTTTGTGAACGTTAAGAGATCTTTATGCCTCCAGGCCAGCGACAGCCAGGGCGGAGACATTATGTTTCTGGATTGTCCGTCCGTCCGTCAGTCCGTCCCATTCTGTGAGTGTGAGGATTCAGTAACGCCTAGAGGGACTTTCTTCAAATTTGACACAAACATTCACTTGGACTCAAGGATTCAGAGGTCAAAAGTCAAAGGTCACTGTGACCTCACAAAACACATTTTTGGCCATAACTCACAAATTCATACGCTAATTGTGACACAGTTGAACTCAAATATCTATAAGGATAAAATGAAGTGATGACATTTTATATCCAAAAGGTCAAAGGTCAACTTCACTGTGACATCAGAATGTTCTGCAAAAACACTTCTGGCTGTTATTCAGTGCTGTAACTCAGAAAGGAGAGATTTATATTTCCTGCAACTTGGCTGGTTGGTAAAGACAAACAACCACGAGGCGGTCATTGTAGTTCATGTTGTGTTAGTTTAAACCCTGCTCTCTAACATACATTTCCGTCTCTTTTTCTGACTGGTGTATATTCTCTGTCTTGTGTTTACTGTGTTTAGTTGCCGCTCCTCCTCCTTGCCTCTAGATATTTGCTCAGAGAAAACTTTAACTAACTCACAACTGTCATTCTGCACATGAGTGTCTCAGTGTTTTAACTCTCTCATTTTCCTTTTTAAGATGCATATTGGTTAAAGATGCTTACATCTTAATGGGACCTAAAGGGGTAGTATTCTTGCTTTCTTCATTGACAAGTACGTCAGCCTCTCACACCCACATAAACACCTACTGTCAGCAACTGTTTTTTCCAGTTACTTGGAAAAAACAAGATTGTGGCAAGCTGTTAATTCAACACAAGGCAAAATGTTCCTTAAGTAAGTAACAGACATGAAGGTCGTGTTTTTTTTTACAGCCTCTGTAAGTGTTACTGTCGTTAGCGCCAGGATTAATAGAAGTAGTAGTAGGAGTAACCCACCTGACAGGAGGGAACAGTGCATCAGCATGAGCTAACGAGAAGGCGTCTACATGGAGTGCATTTAGATATAACCAGTTTCATTTGGCAAGTTGTGTTGAGGTCTTGTGCTGTGAGCTAATAATGGCAGTGTAAGTCCCTGTTGTGGAGCCTGCTGCTGCCATGTCACTGGGTCTCCTGGGAAACCTCGCTGCCCTGTGGGGTTTGATCTTCTGCTACATCAGGCGGGAATTGGTACAGCGTGAGTAATGTGAGCTGCAAGTGAATGGAAAACAGTGTGCCTACGTATTGATTGTTGTCAGAGATGGGAAAGGGGCTCTGAACCTTTCAACACATGCGGTGTATTTGCTGAGCGTGCACAGTGCTCCTCGTCAATGTTGTGCTTCTGCTGGTGACTACTAAGCAGAACTACTGGAGAACTTTAGAGGGCAGGAACTTTTCTCAGAGTTTGTTTGTCTGTGTCACTAGAGATTCTGCTTCAGGCTGCAGCACTGAAGCTATTTTTGCATGTTTGTGAGGCCCTGTTGCCCCTGCACATAAAATTCTTGACGATGTGAATACACTCGTCTAACACCACTGTTACACTAGTATCTAAAGGGTGTATATTTATTAAATAAGCAGGAGAAGTGCTGATAGACTTTCTGCCTTATTGTGACAACCAGAGCTTATTTATATGATCTCATATTTTAGGACAGGTACAGGTTGTTCTTACTAATCTTTAATTTGTTGATAATCTTTACAATTAATTAGTTGAATTTCCATCTCTTCTTTGATTATAGATCAGGTCTAGGTTCTATATTAACACTGTGAAAGTATCAAAGCCTCAGTCCACAGAGAAATGCACACAGCCTGTATCCAGAAACTGAGCCTTAAAACCAGCCGTCAGGACTTATGTAACTTTGTGATGTCACAACAAAGCAGTCACCACCCTCAGGCATGCCCCAAGCTGGCTATATTTTTATTTGATCGCTCAGAAAACAGTCAGCCAATCAGATAAGAGGCTCAGAGCCTCCTCTCTTCTGATTGGCTGACTGACCTGTTGTTACCAGAGCTCCAGAGAGAAGTCTGAGAGAAGATACATTAAGTACATTAAGATGGTTTTTGGTTCTTAAAACCACAAATATATCTAAAATATATAAAAATGTCATCATGTTAACAGTCGAGGAAGCATATCAACTATCCTTTATAAAATGTCTTTTTCTTTTGTTATAACTATGTGCTGTCACTCGTTGTCTACGAGGTGTCTGTTTTTTAGAGATGAGAAACTAATTTAGCCCAATAACCTCTGTGTTCATTCACATCAGAGCTGCTGAAACTTGATTATAAAGATCAAAAGACACAGCAGTCTTTGTCAGCTTTCTCTTAACTCCCCAGCACACACACCTACACAACAACACACACACACACACACACACACACACACACACACACACACACACACACACACACACTGTGACCCTCCATGCCTCCCTGTGTTGTTTACCCAGCCAAATGCTTTTACACCCTGGCTGAGGCTTAGAATGACTGACTGACTCAGTCTATAACTGATGGAGGCCCAGGCCTGCGCTGTCCAGCATTTTGTGCTGAGCCCAACACTTTCATCCACACAGGCTGTACAGGACAGGCTGGGTGGGGTTGAGTGGGTGGTGGTCCTGCAGTCACCCCTCACATTCTACACAAGGCTGGGAAAGTCAGGGACGAAGGCCCATCAGGGTGTGGAGGTTGGACAGATTCTCCTAAGCCTGCTACTCCTCTGGGGAATGATTGGCCTGTGTGTGCTGTACTTGTGAACAGAGTGGGGGGGTGAAAATCCAGGGTGATGCCTTCACCGTGTTTACAGTGCAACCGAGGTTGCTAATTTTGTCTCCTCTCTCTCCTCCCTCTGTCACTTCAGTCATAACCAGAGGACCACGGCGTTTCGCCATCCTGTGACGGGACAGATTTCTCCAGAGAACGTGGATTTTATCCTGCAAGAACAGTGAGTGATTGACTTCTTTACTTCTCTGCAGCCACATCCATCCATCCAAAAAAAAAAAACTCCGCTGTTGAAATAAAAACATTGATTTGTTGTCAGATCCTTTGGGCTACATTGACTTTCTCCTGCTGTTTTGAGATACAGTATATCAACACTAAAATTGGCTGAAGTTTTTTGTTTCTGTCTTAATGTTTGGGGTGAATGTTATAATGTGAGCTATTTATTCACAGTCTGAGTCTGAAAAAAAATCCACAGCTCTTATAGTGAGGACTGTTTTATGGTTTGTTATAGTCTCTGTTATACTGCAGTTGTCTGACCTTCTATTTAACTATGCCTTTGAAAGTATCTTACCTATACCTGTCAGTTATCACTGACATATTTTCTTATACATCTTTACTGAGTGGATGGAGAGCAGGTTCTGTGAAAGGCTGTCTGTTGATTAAGTGAAGATGTGGGTGTTTCATTTCACCAGGGCTGCTTTTTGAACTTTACAACACAATAAGGAAGTGAAAGTAGGAGGACAAACAGAGCTGTTGGAGCGATCTCACTGTCTGATGGTGTTATAGCAGGAGTCAGTCAGGTCTGTCTCTCTCCGTTAGAGTTGGAAAGTGCAGCTAAATGTACTTTTAGTTGCATCTGTTTTTCTTGTCTCCTTCCTTGCCCAGAGTTACAGGAGAAGATTACTACCACTCACACATTTTTCTGTTAAATATGAAAGCCAACAGCTAGTTAGCTCAGCTTAAGATTAAGGCAGGGGGAGACAGCTAGCCTTGCTCTGTCCTAAGGTAAAATACATTTGCTGGTTGCCTGGTAACCTCAAGGTAAGTCACTGCAACTTGTCAGAAAATAGTACAGCACATAACCCCCTGTAAAATCACAACTTGTTGCTTGAAGCTTTTTTTGTCCAGATTAAACAAACTAGATGTAATGTGTTGATTCATAATCTTCAGAGGTGCTGGTTGTCTGATTTTTAACCTTTGGATCGAGACAGGCGTTTCCAGGCTTTATGCTAAGCTAAGCTCACCTGCTCCTGGCTGTACTTTCAATCTTCTCAAACTTTCATCTATCTCTTGACAAGAAAGTAAATAAGTGTATTTCTCAAAATGTGTAACTATGAGACTCTTCCTTTAATCCTAAACTGGAGGGAGTTTTTGTGTTAATGCTAGGTTCGATTCTCTGATATTCAGTTATATTGAATATTGTGATATTTCCCAATATACACAATGTTTTTCATAATATCAAAACAAAAGTTGTTGAAACATAAAATTCGATGATATAATTACATTTTAACCCCCTCCCCCCAGCAATAAAATTGTATATCGCGATATTTGGGCTGGGCTGTATTGAGATAATACATTTTGGATATCGTCCAAGTCTAGCTTAGTTTTGTAAAACCAATAAAAACAAATTTGAATAAATAAAAATAAAAATATTTGAATAAAAAAAATCAGGATGGAGACGTAGGACACCAAGTCACCACGTGGAAATGTTTTATTCCAAATTTCTTATTGTAATTGCAGCTGAGACAAACACAAAGACGTTGGCTTGAGTAATAATTTTAAAGTTGCACTTTGACACATTTGTTTGTTTGTCAGTGAGAGGAATTATCACCTTTACTCCGCTATGACAGTGTAACCAATTAGGTTAACTGCTCTCAGCCTTCTGATGTTTACCATCACTTGCCAGCCCATGATGCTTTGTCACTTTAAGAGACCTGACAAGTGCAGGTCTCTCTGGGATAAACAAGTCAGAGTGTTCACTCGCGCCTGTTTAGTCTACAGTTTGTATTGCACTCTAAGGGCTTTGTTTGGGCAAAGATTTCCTGCCAGTGACTAAACCCGACACCAGACTTTCTCCACAATAGCGAGACTGTCTGAAGTCTCAGTTACACGAGATGGGACACTCTTTTCTCTCGCTGCCCCAGATTGTGATATAGGTCAATACGACAGGTGAATTAGCATGAACACATCCTGTAGCCTGAATATAGAACTATCCAAAAACAAACAAGATAAAAAGTCAAGCAGAGTGTAGCTTCACTTTTAAGAGCTTTTTAGGCACATTTGCACAGGGGGGTCTGGTTTGTTTAGAGGCTGTGTGCATTCATTGGCCCTGCGAGGAAAAGTAATTCCACATCTTGCTCCGGGCACTTTTCTGTAAACCAGTTTGGGAAGAATATAACTGAAAATGCAGTTATATGTTTGTCAGTGTTCCCATGTTCTCAGATGTTTGTTTTACAGCTTTAGTGGACTGTCTGGAACCAGACTGCAGCTCTGATTATTCCAGTCCTCCTTCCATTTCTTTTCACTCTTCATACCCACCTGCATACACCCTTTAGGTGAAGCTGAATCTGAATGTCAGCTTGCAGCATACATTTGGTAAAAGCATAAAACTGGCACAAAAGAAAAAAAATCAATGCTGAATTCATTCCTTTGCAGCAGTCATATGGTGCAGTGGAGCATCAGTGCACTTGGGTCAAAGCCCAAGGTCACTGACACTGTTTATCACGACTGTCCTCCTGTAATAAACAAAGCCATAGGTTGTCTGTGTAGCAGCTTATTATGAAGCAGCTTATTACATTTTATTGTTAGATGACCTCTAACTGCTGTAGTAATTATGGAAAGAGCAAAGGAGGAAGTCAGTTGACGCAGTGTGTAGAGCGACAAAATCCGCCTGAGAAGGTGGCTGAGGTGGATAGGTCAACAAAACACAGGAGCGTTACCCAGGAGACCGCTGTTGGTTTCCCCATGAAACATTATTTCTTGTATCCATGACCGTTTCACAGCCTTTACCGTCTGTTTATTATATATATATATATATGTATATATATATATATATATACTGTATATACTACTGTATATATACTGTATATTACATTGAAACAGGTGACTGGTTTTAATGTTGTGACTGATCTGTGTATTTTTTGCCATGAAGCCGTGAAAAATTATTGAAACTACACATTAAGTTTTAAATCAAATTACTAATGGTTCAGAATGAACTCTTAAAATAATAAAAACAATTACTTGTTTTAATGTTGTGGCTGATTGGTGTATGATAGTAACCATGACAACGAAGGTCCATTAAGCCAAACCACAAACCTTTCCTCAACCTAACCAAAATGTGACCAATCTTCAACCATAACTGTATTTTATTAGTGTAGGACTCCTTGGTTTATGAGACACAAAAATACAGCAGCAATAAAATAAAGCCGTGTTCTGCCCGGTCTGTTGTCATAGTAAGATAACTGCTTTACTGAAGTCTTGTAGCTCTTGTAAGTGACATTATACTCTGTTTTGATAAGAGGCAACATTGTACTGCCCTCTGTGGATCTGTCTATGGCTGTTAATGCCACCATATCATAACACACTGTTTCACAGCCAGTGTAAAACATGAACATGTAGTGACACAAAACAACCTGTAAACAGCAAGTAAAACAGACAAAGGATTGTGCATAAAACCGAAGCATGTCCCAGGAGAAAAACACTAAAAAGTTATGATAATGTATTTCCATAGTGGTCCTGTTCCTCCCCAATCAACGGACTGCTGTTCCCCTGCTACATTACTGACTGAAAGGTGTGACATGCAGATTATAGCAGACAGAACATTACTCATTATTCATATTTCACCCTTCAGCTCCACCACAAACCTTCTCCAGGCTGCGGTCTGTTTTTACTGACCTGCAGAACTCTTTCATTAATGTAATTAGAATGGCTCGTGTAATTAATACACAGTGTTATGAATACAGAGCAATTGGTTGGATTAAAGATTCCTATATCACTCATGGCGAACACCTCACTTATAACTAAAAAATCAAAAACTGTGTGTATGTGAGTGTGTGTGTGTGTGAGAGTGAAGTGATTATTTTGTTTAACTGTTTAGTCATGCTGTGATCTTCTGTGTATGTAATTTTCAGGCAAAATAAATAATGGGATTTCCTGAATAAATAAAACTTAACATAATGGTCTTTACTTATTTTGGCTGATGAGACCTGTGTGAGTGTGAACACACCGTGGGACAACTCACAACCTAATGGGTTTTTTTTTGTGTGTATGGAGTTTGGCAACTTCAGTTTCACTGATCTTAAACCTGAAGTTCTCATCAGCCAGAATAACTGAAAACATCATCACCTTTTGCAGGATCTTTAACACTGTACAAGTGTATCAAATGACAGAATAGCTTTTATTTCAAGAGGGCCAGAGGAGACTTTCATGTGACTCCCTGCTTCAACTTTCACTTCACCTCTGTCTGGATCTAAGACCCAGCAGCTCCAGTGAAGCTCCGACCTTCACCTGCAGCTCAGGGACCTGAGATCAGTGCTGTCAACCTCTAAAAGACCTAAAGGCCGAGTCCTTCACTCAGCCTCAGAGCTTCAGAGGACACATTGTTACAGGGTGATATTTCTAAATTAAACTCCTCTACCAGACTCCTCACAGAGCCTGTCATTCAGTTGAGTGAATACTCCGAGTGTTCTTCAGATTCAATAAATGAGTCTTGATCATTTATATTCATTAGGTCATGGCTTCATGATCAGCTCCACAGTTTGGGAAGAAGTCATGATTATTGTTGCTGATGATTTTAGGAGTTAAAGGAGCTATTCGTAAGTTTAGCTATTGCTGTATAGCTAACATTAGCATTACCAGCTGTTTACTTACCAGTCTAGAAGAAACATTGTGAGTTCATAATCAAACTTTATTCCTTTACTCGCCAACAGCTGTCAGCAGAGGTGGAAAGCAACACCAGTTGTCTTCTTGTCTTGTTTTGTCTGTCTCTTGTCTCTATCACACCTTTTCTTCTACTGAAGTTAGCATGCTAACCAGCTAGCCCTAGCCTGTCTCATCATCATTCTTATAGCGACTCACTGTAGCCTCCAACCTGCCCTGAAGGCATAGCACTGCTCAGAGGGAGTTTTATAACCTTTTGTCTTGTAAACACAAAGATGGCTGAAGCTCTTGTCAAGAGACAATCACCACCACCTGCTCCCACCGAGAAACCACGTTCGGCGGCAG